TCCATATGGGTGTCTACCAGACAATGCATGGGTTGGGGAGGGAGCTAAGGGAGCAGAGGGAAGGACAGCTTGCTCGTGGTGGGCACCGTGAGTTGCGGGAGGGGCAAGAGTATGAGAAAGGTGTCCCAGAACGGGCTGCTGGAGTCGTGGTTATAGGCAGTGTGATGTCTGGGACCAGCAGTGGGTAGCAGATGGCTGGCCATGGCCTAGAGAGATCACTTGTGGGGTCATGTCCTGGACTTTGTTAATAAAATAAAAAACAGAAAAGGGTACAAAATATCAGGGCATTGCACAAAATTATGTATCAATGCATTAAATCCTGAAATTTTCTTACATAGATATGTGTACTGGATCACAATGTAAAACAATTAAACATTTCATTTGGTAGTAGTACTGAGGATTGAACCCAGGTGAGCCACACCACTGAGCTACACCCCCCAGCCCATTTTCTTTTTGGAGACAGGGCCTCATTAAATTGCCCATACTGTGCTCCAACTTGTAATCTCCTTGGCTCAGCCTCTCGAGGAGCTGGGATTACAGGTATGCACCACTGTGCCCAGTGTAAGTTATTTTGTATGATGATAAAATAAATATTGTTTGCATATCCCTTATCCAAAATGTTTGGGGCCAGAAGTGTTTTGGATTTTGAAAAAATTTGTAAAATTATTTTGGGAATATTTGCATATATGTAATAAGGTATCTTGGAAGGGAACCCAAATCTAAACACAAAAATTATTTATGTTTCTTGTTTCATTTTTTGAGACAGGGTTTTGCTATGTAGTCCAAGCTGGCCTTGGACTCACTATGCAGCCCAGGCGGCTAGCCTCTTGGCTCAGCCTCCTGAATGCTGGGGTTTCAAGTGTGTGCCACCGTGCCTGGATAAAGATTTACTTAGGTTTCTTATACACATAGCTTGCAGGTAATTTTATAAAATATTTTTAGTGTGTTTGTGTTCTGACTACAACCTATCATATGAGGGTAGGTATGAAATTTTCCATTTGTGGCCTCATGTTGGCACTCAAAAAGTTTCAGATTTGAGAGCATTTTGGATTTTCAGTTTGAGGATGTCAAACCTTAATAGAGAATTTATCATGTTTTACCAATTTTTTTTTTTTTGGTACCAGGGATCAAACTCAGGACCTTGCACTTACCAGCCAGGTGCAGTGCCCCTGAGCTAAATCCCAGGCCCCACCAATTTTTAAATGTATTATTCACTGGTATGAAGTACATTCAATTCACACTGTTGTGTAACCACGCCACTATTTCCAAATTTTTTTATCACTCCAAACAGAAACATATAAACATTATACATATGAAATATGATAGGGCAATGTGGTTCATGGTTAAAAATATTTAAGGCTAATAAATACACAAAAAGATGCTCAATATCACTAATTACTAAAATGACAATGAGGGCCGGGGATTTAGCTCAGTGGTGGCATGCCTGCCTCAAAAGTTCAAGGTCCTGAATTTGATCCCTGGTACCAGAAAAAAAATTTAAAAATAACATGACGGGGCAAGGGATTTAGCTCAGTGGTTTCACCGCCTGCTGTGCAAGCACAAGGACCTGAGTTCGATCTCTAGTACCAAAAATTAATAATAATAATAATAACATGACAATGAGATACCATGTCACACCCAATAGGATGGTGACAAAACAAAAACTAAAATTGGTGAGGATGAGAAGAAATTGGAACACTTATTCAATGTTGGTAGGAATGTGTAATAGTGCAGCCACTTTGGGATAAATGTATATTACCACAAGATCTTTCAAATTTCTTTTGAGTATATACCCCAAAGGATTAAAAGTACAGTTTTGAGCAGATATTCTTTTTTTTTGGTACCAGGGATCTAACTCAGGACCTTGCACTTGTGAGGCAGGTGCAGTGCCACTGAGCTAAATCCTTGACCCTTGAGCAGATATTCTTTTTTTTTTTCCTTAAATTCTTTTATCGGTACATTTTAGGTATACAATACATTGACATTTATCATTGGGTGCTTGTACCTGTACATGATGTATCTTGGTTCCTATTTTTCCCCCATTACCTGTGCACCCTTCACCCCCTCCACCCTTCCCTATTTACAAAGACTTTGTGTCCATTTTTTCCTTTTCTAATAATTTTTCCATTCCCTTCTTTCCTTTCCCCTTCCCCTCCCACCACTCCTACCCCTTTGGACCTTTTCTTCCTATTTCAAATTATCAATTATTCATTTTAATCATTTTAATCCTTATTTACACTTTCAGTTTCTCACACTAGAGAAACAACTCAGTATTTACACATGTGTGTCCTATTTATTTCACTTAAGAGTATGGCCTTGGCCAGGGATTTAGCTCAGTGGTTCCAGCGCCTGCCTCACAAGCGAGAGGTCCCAAGTTCAATCCCCAGTGCCAAAAAAAAAAAAGTATGGCCTCAATATGCATCCATTTAGCTATAAATGTCTGTAGTTTCTCATTCTTTATGACTGAGTAGTACTCCATTGAAAAAAAACCCCACATCTTCTTTATCCAGTTTCCAGTTGATGGGCACTTGGGCTGTTTCCAAGCTTTAGCTATTACAAACTGTGCCGCTATGAACATGGGTGCACATATATCACTGTGGTTTGATTCTTTTAATTCTTTTGGGAAGATACCCAGCAGGGGAATAGCTGGGTCAAATGGGACCTCTAGTCCTAGTTCTTTGAGGTCTCTCCATACTGATTTCCACAGTGGTCGCACCAGTCTTGGGCAGATATTCTTACACCATGTTCATAGCAGCATTACTCACAATTGTCTAAGGTGGAAGTAGTTCAAATGATCCTTGACAGAGGAATGAATATACACACAATGGAATATTACTCAGCTTCAGGAAAGAATTAAATTCTAACACATGCTACAGTATGGATGAACATTGAAAACATTATTCTGAGTGAAATAAGGCAGTCATAACAAAGACAAATACTGTATGATTCTATTTATGTGAAGTACAGATTTAAATTCATAGAGACAGAATGTAGACTGGCATTTGCCACCAGCTGGGGCAGGGGGTTATGCAGAGTAAATGTTTAATGGAATTGGGGTTCAGTTTTACAGATGAAGAGCTCTTCAGATGAGTGTTGGTGATAGTTGCACAACATTAGGAATGTATTTATACCACTAAATTGTACACTTGAATAAAATGGTAAATTATATATGTACTTTATCATATTATATAAAATTGGAAAAATCTGAAAGGTTCTGGTCAGTCGTCAGCAAGAGAGTAAATATCTGGGGTCATGTAAAAGACAAGATCCTTCCAGGAGGGGCCTTGGAGTTGAGAGGCAGGGCACTAGAAGCATCATCTACAATTCAGACTCTAAGAGAATGCTGGATCTCTAAGAACGATGCTAGGAACCATAATCAGAGAATGATAGTGAGTCTGGTGCTAAAATTTTCTAGCTAGGAATCTGCAGAAATAGGACAGAAATAATCTAAGTGTCCAAACTACTACACATAACGAGATATTTACGAATGTTAATTTTAATGTACAGTCCCCAAAAAACATTTTAAAGACTACAACTTGGAGAAATACCCCTTCAAAAAGCAGTACATAAACGTATATAGCAGGCTGGGGGCGCAGCTCAGTGGCAGAACAGTTCCTAGCAAGAGCCAGGCTTCCTTGGGCTCTATTGCCTGCACCACCACCACCACCACCACACACACACACACACACACACACACACACGCGCCTGCGCGCACAAGCTTTGATTGACATAAAAATTAGGATTTCTTTCCAACAAAGGAGAGGCTGAGAAAAGATATTTGCAATAGCAAAAACAACAAAGGCTTAATATTTAACAGAATCAAAGCAGCCTGGAGCAGTGAATTCCAGGTTTGAATCCAGCTTGGGCAGTTTGATGACACCTTGTCTCAAAAACAAAACCAAACCAAAAAAACAAAACAAAACTGGGGGTACAGCGCCCCAGGGCTCAGTCCCCAGTGAAGTGGGGACCAGAGTAAAGAAAGGGAAATGGGAAGAAGATGGGGAGGGAGAGAGCAGTTGGAAGGAGGAGTTGGAGGACCCTAGGAAGAATCGCTAAGGAATACCCAGCCCTAACCTAAATAACGAATCAGATGCACATTCAACTACACAGAGGGATCTTCACAAATAATACAATGTGTTCCAAAACCCCAGATGCTAAAATGTATAAAAATATTATATACATTGTAACCTCAAGAGTGTTTAACTCTGCAATTTAAAATGACAGTTGATGCACTCAGTGTGAACGCAGGGAGGGCGTGGGCTGCCCAGCGGTTCCAGTGGGGCTGGATCTGGGGGTCCAGGAGCACAGGTGGGGCCCAGGTGCAGAGGTGAAGGTGCTAACGTGTAAGGGGGTCGCAGAGTGGCTTGGAGAGGAACGAGAGGGTGGTCGGGATTGGAGAATGAGGAGGACCCCGCACCTTGGGGACCAGGCTGCAGGGGACCCACGCGCTTTCGCCAGTGCCCTTGGAATGCGGCTGAGAGCGCGTACGGGGCGGACACGCAGGGCCCCACGGGGGGACTGAACGCCTCCCCAAACGACCCTTGGCGGTACAGATCCACCACGTCCTGGGCCCTCGCCCCCAGGCGTCTCGAGTTGATAATACAACCCGTGCAGTTCCCAGGGGACAGACGCCTGCGATCACCAGAGAGCCTAACCGGTGAGGCCGGGCACCGTCGCCCAGCCAACCTGCGCCTGCGTGCCGGGCTCCTCTCTGAACCCGCCTCGCGCCCCGCCCCGCGCGCGGTCCCGTCCTTGGGTACCTCTGCTCTCACAGGCTAGCTCCGAGGCCGCGCCCCGTCGACCAACCAATGAGAGTGCCGCGCGCCCCGAGGCACGTGCACCCCCGCCTCACCCGGCCTGGTGGGAACCAGCAGGGCCCTGTGGCGCGGAGCGCGCGGGGCGGGGGCGCGCGAGATGGGGCGGGGCGGGGAGGGGGGAAGGGAGGGGCTACGCGGTGATTGGTCGGTGCCGCGTTCCGAGGCCACTGACGGCGACTGGGCCGGGCCCCGGCTCCAAAACAAAGGGCAGGCGGCCCGCGGGGCGGTGGCGGGAGGATGCCTCGCACCCTGCCGAGGCGCCAACGACCGCAACGCGCCCCGGGCCGCGCCAGGGCCGCCTGAGAGCGGAACCCTCGCTGACCGAGGCCCGGGCCGGATGGGCGCTGCGGGCTGGGGCGCAGACCGCCGACGGTCGTGAGTACGGGGGGCCGTAACCGCCGCGCGGGCGGGCACTGGGCGGCGACCCCAGGCTGCCGGGGCTGCGGGGCGTGCAGCACCTGTTGGCGTCCGTGCGGCGGGGGTGCGAGCTCAGCGGACCTGCAGACTTTAGTTTTGGTGTTTTTTGTTGTGTTGATATTGGGTACACTCCGTTTGAGAACAGACCACAGAGCCTATTCTTTTTTACACCCCTTTTTTCTGTCCCCCTCCCTGCCTCCTGCCACCCACACCCTACCATGAGAAGATTTACAAAAAATGAAGTGGATGCCTAGTGATTGCTTTTTCCCTCCAAAGAAAGAAGCGCAATTGGGGAGGGAAATAAGGACAAAAGACGTCTCCATTAAAGGAGTGTTTATTAAGAGGGGACATATTTTCAAGTTGCTCACATGAGGGTCATGACTACAGTGAACTGTCCTCATTGTTTACTACTTGTGACATTAGGTTTCACTAATGCAGAGATTGCAAAAGCCCGAGCTTCAGGAACCTAGTAAGTAGGATCCCCCGTGATGTCCCGATTCTGTGCTGAGTTCCAGGTAGAAAGAAGTCTGAAATTCTATTTTGATTAGGTGGTGAACGTGGAAGACATCAGTTTCCCCACCCCAGCCCTTTCGATTCAGTTGCATTTCTTCTTTTATATAAAACATTCCTGCGGTAACCTACTTTGATTTGGCCAAGAATGTTATTCTTTCCACCCACCAGCCCCTCACTGTCCTGAACTTCCCAGGCAGCAAGGCCAGGCTCACCTCCTGTGGGGAACCTTTCCAGGTGTTTCACCTGAGCAAGCTGTCCCACCCCCTCCTGTGTACACCATACCCCTTGGCCTCTGCTGTGTTCCAGCAGGTGTAACAGATGTTTGCTGAGCACCTGCCCTGTGCCAGTAACTCATGCTGGGTGCTGCTGAGTTTTACAAACGTGAGCTGGTCTCCCACCCCTAGCTGTGGGCTCTTAGGGGACAGTGCTGGCATGTTTGAGGAATGCTGATACTCAGGATCCTCTAGACCCTCGTTCCCCCTCGCCTTGTGCCCCCCATGGCTAGAATCCCTTCTGCTTAAGGGACCGGAGCAAAGCCCTCCCTTATCACAGCCAGGTGGTGCAGGGTCTGGGCTTTACTGGACATACACACAAAAATAACTGAATGATCTTAGTGATGAGGCTGAACAATAGTCTTTATGGTTTTTTATTTGTTAGTTTGGGGGTTTTTTGGGGGGGGTGCTGAGGATTGAACCCAGGGCCTTGGGGATCCTAGGCATGTGCTCTACTCTTGAGCTACATCTTAAGTCTGTCTTTCCAATTTTGTTTTTTTCTTTTGCACTGGGGATTGAATCTAGGGCCTTTGCATGAAGCGGTATCCCCAGACGTTTTTGTGTTTTGTTTTTTGAGACAGAGTCTTGCTAAGTTGCCTAGGCTGGGTTCAAACTGACCATGCCCCTGCCTCAACCTCTTGAGTATCTGGGATTACATACAGGTGTGCCACCACAGCCGGCTTGTTTTTCCTTATGTGAAGCACCAGAGTTGCTAAAGCTGTTTCTTTATGCTGAACCAGTTTTCCTTCAACGTTTGTCCATTGATTCTTGCCTATCTTCACCACAAAAAGAAAAAAAGAAGTCCTGCTTTACTTTGTTTTGATTGATTGATTTAGAGTACAGCCAGCTCAGGGCCTCATGCATTCTAGGTAAGCACTCTACCTCTGAGCCACACCCCTAGTCCAATCCTCTTACTTTAAAACTATTCTCTGATACTCTTCATTAGAGAGATATTTGGTTTGTTTGAATAGTTAGATCTGATAATCACTAAAGACTCTAGGGCAATTTTTTATTTTTATTTTTCTTGATGCTGGGAATTGAACTCAGAACCTTACACATGTACTCTACCACTGAGCTCCATTTCCAAGTGGGAGAATTTTGACAAGTGACAATTGGAGAAAGTTTTGAATGACCAAGACACGGAGAGCTAAGGATTCTGGGGAGGTCATAATGAGGTGCATTCAGGAAAAAAGTCAAGGAAAATCTGTTCTTCCCACTGAGGAATGTTCCTCCTGTGAAAGAGACATGGAGTTCTGAAAACCCATCTCCAGGAGATAGTAAAATGAAGATCCTGGAGTTAACCAACTGTTGTCCACTCCCCATTCTGCCATTATTAGCAGCCTCCAGGCACCTGCAGGGCCTTGGGACTGGGGTCAGGGGTCCGTGAGGTGTTGAGCTTGCCAGCCATCCTGTGACAATGACAGCGTGCCACTGTCATGAGCCAGTTGGCAGGAATTTAAAGTTGACCAAGAATTACCCCTCTCCAGCATCTTGTGACTCTCTGGACCATCTTGGGAATTGCATATTACTCCCATTTTACACACATGGTAACAGAAATTGATTCAGAGATTGTCCCAGGGACAAAAAATATGTGGGACATTTTGAATCAAACTCTAGGAAGCCCCTCAACACAAGCAAAACCCGCCCTCAGCTTTGTTCCAGTGGTAGCATTATCTTGCTGGTCAATATCATCTGCCTTCCAACACACTTGACATACCTTCTCCTAAGTTCCAAGACCCCTTTTTGGTTCCCCTTTGTATCTGTGGTTTTTCCCTTACCCTAAGAAAAGTCTTTGAATGTTTGATGGTATTTTATTCAGCATGTGATTAAATAAAATAGTTTAAAATTCCCAGCTTCTTTTCTTCCACTTCAGTCTTCTAGGGCAGCATTGCATGTAGTTCCTATATCCTCCCCCTTCTTGGTGTTTGCAAGGAAGACATGTTTCAGGACCATGGCCGTGGGAAACTTTGTTACTAATGTAGAAATAAGAAATACATTGTAAATTCTTCCAAAAGGCTGAAGCTGGGTGTGGTGGTGGATGTCTGTAGTCTCAGCACTCAGGATGAGGCAGGAGGATTGCTGCAAGTTCAAGGGCAGCCTGAACTACATAGTGAGATACTGTCTCAGAAGAACAAAAGAAGAAACAAGGAGGGAGGGGAGGAAGAGAGAGAATAAAAGAAAGGCTAAGTTGTAGCCACATTATCAGCAGTCTTGTGGGAGGTGGAAGGTGCAGGAATTGAGCAAAGTCGGGAGAGAGATGGAGGTAGACATGGGCCATGAGGGCGGAGGTGTCTGGACCACTGGACAGTAGAGGTGTGGATCCCTTGGGTTCCACACGGAGTGGAGGCTGGTGGGCATCCTCAGCAGGCCAAGGAGCTTAGGACAGGTGTGTCCGTGGTATTGTTTAGGGGTCTTCTTGCCCTTACAGTAGGGCTTGTGGTCCACCAAGGCTGCAGCACCTGAATGTGGAAGAAAATTTGTCACCCTGTGAGTCAGGTAGGGAGGAAGTAGCTGTGGGGTTTTTTTTGTTTTGTTTTGTTTTGTTTTGTTTGGTACCCAGGATAGAACTCAGATCCTTGTGCTTGTGAGGCAGGCAGCGTAACCACTGAGCTAAATCCCCAGCTCCATAAATGTATTTTAAGGGAAGCTGGTGCTGCCAAAAACAGATTGTCCTTGCGGTTTGTTTGTTTTTGTTTTTTGTTTTTTTGTGTGTGGTTTTTTTGCAGTACCAGGGATTGAACACAGGACCTTGCGTTTTCAAGGCAGGCAACAGCACCACTGAGTTAAATCCCTGGCCCTTGTTCTTGTGTTTTGTTGTAGATCCTTCCAGACCTTTCCAGTCCTCTGAGCGAATGTACTGTGAGGGTGAGGGTGAACTGTCAGTACTGAACACCTGGTGTCAAAGTGGAAAGACAAAAAGCAGACAGTGTAAAGGAAGGCCCCCTCTCTGACCTTTCTGTCTCTATCCTGAACTTAGGTTGCAAGTGTTTCTGGTACATGTTTCTCGGTATGTGTAGCTGGTCTCTTGGGTAGACTATGTGGTTTCTAATTTTTGGTTATTACAGGACATATTGTGACTACTTTTACTCAGTGTTTTGCACATGAAAAAGCCAGTCCCAAGGTAAAATCCTAGGATGGGCCCTCCAGACCAAGGGCACATGCCCAGGAATGCTGACAGATGTTCCACTATGCCCATGCCAGTAGCATTATCAACCCTTTTGTTGTTGTTACTATGCTAAGGACTTGGGTTTCACTATTTTGCCCCAGCTAGCCCTGAACTCCAGGGCTCCAGCACTTCTCTCCCCTCAGCCTGCTTAGCACTGGGTTTAGAGGCAGGAGGCACCATGCCTGGGTCAACATTTTCAAGCCATTGCCAGCCTCTAGGTGTGAGTGGTGTTGATGCACTTGGGTTTGCATTGATGAGGGAGAGTGCACCTCTGTGTGTCTGCAGGTGCGGCGTCCTGGCTGGGGTCTCTGGCTTTGACACTACTCTATAGCTGATGAGCTGGGCAGCTTTGGGCAGGTTTCTGGATCTCACTTTTCCCATCTGCATGGGGGGAGTCAAAAGAACGCCCGTCTTAGACTGTTGTTACCTCACATGATTCTGCAGTGCTTAGAACAGCGCCAGTGCTGGCCCGTAGGGTCTTTGGGAGCTACTGTAGTTCTTTCACCTTGAGCTGGCAGTTTCATCTGTTGTCCCTCTCCCTGTGATGGCAGTGACCTTTTCACCTTTTTAATCCCTAGCCCAGTGTCTTACTAGTGGGAGAGGTGCAGCCAGCAGGTAGCCTCTTCTTCACCTTGTGAGGAGGAAAGGACCTGAGGGCCAGGGAGCTGCTGGGACAAAGCAGCGCTGGAGGAAGGAGTGAGGCCAGAAGATGGTGCTGCTTCTCACCACGCCCCTCTGGAGTCACCTCTCCCTCCTCCCTGGGAAGATGGACCTAATGTCCCCAGCATACACAGCCTGCCTAGGACCCTTCTCTCCCCTCTCCTGCCCTCCCCTCCCTTCTCTCTCTTTTCCTTTCCTGTTTTCCTTTCCTTTCTATTTTGAGACAGGGTCTTGCTATGTAGTCTACATTGGCCTCAGACTTGCAAGGCTCCTGCCTCAGTTTCCCTAGTGCTAGGATTACAGGCGGGTGCCACCATGGCCAGCTGGGTTCTGCCTTCTAGGAGTGCCGAC